ATTTCCAAAAGATTTATCTCCCTGTTCTTTATAGTCTATCTGCTATAAAGAAGGATAAATTTGAGTCATTTGTAGAAAAATGGATGCATTGTGACCATAATGTTAGGCAAAATAAATCACAAATACAAGCTTAAATATTTCATTGTTTCTTTTATAGGAGAAACTCAAAGTATAATTAAAGAGCAAAATAAAGTTGTCTTTTTATAATTACAATGTCATGGATTTCAAAATTTGAAAGGAAAATCTGACATTATGTCAGTTTTGTTCACTCACAAAGGCTGCAACCAGGTTGATCAACTGGTTTGAATTTAGTGTTCATTTGATTCTTAAGACATGCACAAATATTTTTTTATCTGAAGTCTATTGAACTAGATAGGGTCATGAGGCATTTAAAGGCCTTTTCCATCTAAGAGAAGAACCTTATGCATGCTGGCATTTGTTGCTCTTTCAGGAGCATATGCCTATTTTGGCCATTGCAAGTGGTCTATAATTTGGTGGCTTACAGTGATTACATTGTAGATGTCTATGTCTGTTCCTGGCTTGTGGTCACAACTCATGAAATCATCCTGCTGATAATTACCATTGATCTAAAAAATTAAAACATAGCAGTGTATGACTTAAAGGTGTGAGCAAGACAGCCCTGAGTTTGAAAATTGCTTTGGCACTCACCCACCATGTGACATAGGTCTAAATACTTACTCCAGAATTCAATGTTCTCACTTGCAGAATGGTAGCAGTAAGTGTATCTCTTTTTACAATGATTATGAAGAAATAACTTAATACTTAAGGTAATGATAGCTCAGGGCATAGCACAAAATAAGTAACTAGCAAAGAAGAGGTGAAGGGTTCAATAACCAGAGTGTGGTGCCAGCCCCACCCCCAGGACTTGCTGAGACGTTGATTGAGACTAGGTGTGGTAGTTATGTGCCTATAATCCCAGCATTTGGGAGGCTGAAAACAGGAGGATCACTACGAGCCCCATCTGTGTAGTGAGATCCTGTAGACTCTGTACTAAATACATAAAAATAAGTAAGTAAGTAAGTAAATAAATAAATAAATAAATAAAGTGGTGAGATCTATTTATTAAACACTTCAGAATTGAAGCTCAGGCGAAGAGAAATGGAAATTAAAAACAGTTCTATGACTAAACCAGTATCCAAATAGGAATTTTCCTTCAATTTGCTGAGTTAGTGTTGGGTCTGCAGAGCCTGGTTTCAGCTGACCAGACCCAAAGCCAGTCTGGCCTTTAGCAATTCAGCCCAGACTGTAATTACCTTTCCTGAAACAGAAGCATTAGTGTGAAAATGCATGCTAATTTAGGAATACCAGTTAAAGGAATGCCAAGTACGTAATATTTTTATTTACTGAGAAATGAAAATAACACAAAAACAGTCAAAGAAAACTAGGCCAAGTTCATGTCTTTGGTTTCATGTGTTACAAGTTATTTTCTTCATTCTCGTAAGCTAAGTCCTTGTATCTTAATGTGAAGGTCTGTGGGAAGATGAATCATTACTTAGGGGAAATGACTTTCTCTCAGTTGTGTCGGACCAGGAGTCTCAGATCCTGTCCTCTCTAATCAGGACTCAGAGGTACGCACAGGTAAACAAGCCAAAATAGGCCTCACTCAAAATAACTCTTCCAGGACACCCTACTACTCTGTACAGCGGTCAGGCTGGCCTGGTTGGGGTCCTGGCGGAGTCCTGTGCTGGTCTGGCATACATCCTAAGAAAGCAGGAAAGTACAGGACACTGTGTTGTGACCCAACAGCCATCATGGCTCCCTTTCCCAGGAACCTCTGGACAGTCTCAGATGCTCCTTTCCCCTCCTCAGTGTCTTATCCTCTGTGGAGATTTTAGTTTTTCTTTGCCTTTGAAGAAAAACAAGCAGAGGAAGTGAACGTAATGTCACAGCAAGCAATTCTTGGCAAGGCTTATAACAGGCATCTATTCAGAGGTTGTATTTCATCATGCTATCATTTTTTGTCATTCACCCAAACCACTCTTCCCCAGGAGGCCATTTTCTTTGGGATGAAAACTCTCATGTTCACTCTGAAGCTGTAAGAGCACAGGAGGAAAAGCCATGGATAAAATGATCTGGCTATCATCCTGTGGATAACTCACACAGAGGGATTCTAGAACTCAATCCTTGTAACACCCCTGCAAAGTAGACATGCTGCTTTCATTTCTGGAGATAAGGACTGATAAAGGTGTATTGAATACCATACTCAAGGACATCCCAAAACTAGTCATGACAAAACTTGAACTCAGCTTTCCCAGCAACAAAAGCTGTAAGAGCAGAAACAAAGTCTATTATATTTTCTAAAATTATGTGGCTCAATGTTTAGCAACTTTCCACTTCATAAGGATACTGTGTGTTGCCTCTTGTTAGAATTTTAGAACTTAATATTTATGTTTGGAATATACTATGGATTACTGAGTTAGGAACAGTGTTCTGTTTTTCCAGAACCCTCTAAGACCCTTTGAACTACTTTCCCACTTTTCTGTCCCAGTCATCATCAAGCTTGAAACTTCAGTTGTATTTTTCCCTCTATTTCTTGTCTGTATCCCTCTCCAAACCATGTGGGGAACTCTATTAGGACCTGAGTTTTCTTCTGTGT